CCATTGCCCCCCACCCCCACCCCTCACACATTGCTGCCAGGCCAGCCCGAACCCCTTCCACCTACACCCACACACCCTCATTCCAACAGGTTTTCTCCTTACTCTGTTGCTTAAAATGATATTGCATGGTTACTGAAGCTTCCCCTAACGTGTCATCCTCTGTAAACCTGAAAATGGACTGCAATTCTGAAATTAATATTTGTTTTTAAATTTGCAGCATGTCCACTATGTGGGACTCTGAGCTTTATGGGAAAGGAGTACTGTTGCGCCGATTTGAATGACAACTATTCATGCTGCACTTTTGAAGACTATTATTACAAAGGGTTAGTGTTTTCATATAAATTTACTAGGGATTCATCCCACTGTTATTTGTTTAAATTTGATGTACTGTGCCTTATTTCCAACAAACATTTTATTTTTTTATTTAAAGTGGCTTCCTGGACAGCAAGACGCTGTACATTACGATTGCTGTGGCAGCTGGTATTCTGGTGTTGTTGCTGGTCCTCATTTGCTGCTGCTGCTGCGCTTGCTGCCCTTGCAACCGACGGCGCCGACAAGGTGCTGTGTACAACAGTCAGTGAAAATTATTTCCCCATTATTTTATGTGTGGTGTCTGGTCACTGCTCTCTCTCTTCTTCCTCTCCCTAATTTAACATTTAACTTTTCTTCATGGATTGTTCTGTGGTATTTGTTACTAAGCTTTACTAACCCATTACATTTATTATTTCTTGCATACATTCAGATTAAGGAATGGAGGTAAGAAACAATTTCAAAGCCTGAAGTTATTACGAGTCAGTTTTAAAATGTATTAAATTGCTGTTCTTGCGTGTCCTTTCTTTTACAATCTAAGCTTTAGTAGTTTCTTGCTTTTAACAATAAAATTAAAATATGATCTTGCTTATTGTGTTTATTTTGCTGGCATGACCGTTGCTTCTTTGACGATGACATGTTTGTCATAGGGCCTGCGTGAATCTAATTTGTGCAAGGATATTGTGATGTCATGCTGCTACTTTTTCTTCTGGGTCTGATGGTAAGGTCATCATGCTTTTGTACTGTTTCTTTTACTTTTTACATTTTCCAAATATACCAATGGACCTAAAACAACCCATCACCAGAAGCTATTATTAATTTTCAAGTGATGAGTGATGAAGGTGGCCTTGAAACGAAACATGGTCAAAGGCACAAGAGCATGTGTCCCAGGTTGATATTTCATCTTTACAGGTGTTGTGCTACCAGGAAATGCTCCAGCATACCAGCCCAGTTCAGTTCAATACCACCCTGCGCAATATCCTCCACAACCTTCATCCAACCCATATCTTGGTAAATATATAATATAAAATCGTTTTCTTGTATTCCATTATTAACTCTCTTCACTAATTTTTGATTATATTTGCAGCTCCAGCTGCATCTGCTCCAGCTTATCCTACACTTCCAAAGGTTTAGTCATTTATTAGTTTCAATGCGCACAATTAATGGTTTGTGCCAAAGCAGGAACTCTTTAGTTTGTTCATCTTTCTACTTCAAATCTAGGAATTTTAATTTTTGAATGTGATATTATTTGCATAGAATATCTCTTCACTCTCAATTGTACTTAACTGTTGCCATATTTTTAGCTACTTGGCTACAGTGTGAGTGTTTGCTCCATAATTTGAGTTGTTCTGTAGCTAACTCTCCTCCTAGTTCTAACAAATAACGGCTTGTAAGTTAAATTTAAGAACGTAAAGGATTATTATATTTATTGTACTTTGTGTCACGACTTTAATTTAATTGACGAAGAGTCACTTTAATATTATAGATATTTATGTTATTACTACTGTAGTTTTCAATGTAAGGAAAGACATTTTAAATGGTTGTGTAAAATTTACTCTTAACTTGCGTTGTCTCAAGCCATTGTTTTTTTTTCTTTTGAAGCAGTGTATTTTGTTTCTTGAATGTATGTAATATTTTCTTTAGTCATTTGACTTGACACATTTTATCACATAAGAGACAATATTCAAAAACATACTCTTTAAGTTATTTCCTTTTCTTCAGTTATTTTACCTAAGTTTTATTTTCCATTTTAGAAAAGAAATTTGCATTCCATTTGTACCAAAAATGAGAAACTATATATAATAATGCTTAATGATGTTATGTGAAACAATTTTCGGTAGTGTAGTCGTAGTGAAGCTCTAAAACTCCTGTTGTGATTAGTTTTTAACATCAAAACAAAAATTTTGATCAGACCAAAGTTTTCTTTATGTAGAAATGAAGCAGTATTATGCTGCAAATTTTGAACTAATAGTATATGTTTCGAAAGATCTTTGTTTTAAGAGGTGTGTGATACGATTTTCTGCATGGACTTCTGTTACACAAATGTCTGTTTGATGACCAAACTTTTGGTTTTAAAATATTTGCTCCATGGAAACGTATACCATGTTTTTTCAACTTAAAGCTACTGCCATTTTGTATCACCAGTGTCACATATTGGTGATTTTGTCCTTATTTTTCTCCAGTCTGAAAACAAGGGGCTTGAACAAAAGAGTTACGTTCAAGCAAGGGGATACCATATAGTAAGTACATATTGGGATACTGTTTAAGCATTTGAAGTCAGAGAAGGGCTATCCCACAATGAGGCTTTGGTTTTACAATTGATGAAAGGCTGTTTACATATGGTATACATTTACAGCTGAGGAAAAGCTTCAAGTCGTATGTTTGATGACAGTTATTTTACTTTTGGTTAGCTTTTATTTTTTACTTTTTGAACACAATACAATCTTCTGTTGCTCGATATGCGTTTGAATGGCTGTTCATTTTTAGTGGCAATTTAACTCTTGAATTTCATAGAGTTTTTGTATTAATATCAGTGTGCTTCTACCGAACACTCAAAACAGTTTTTTCAGTTTTATTGAATTCAATTATCTCCAAAAATTCACACATAAGTGAAAAAGCTCTTACCAGGTTCATTTTGTTGATAACCAGCTCGACATGGGATATACTCAAGACTCCTGGAGTTAAGTCTGATATCTTTTATGTTGCAAAGTTTTCTATTTTGAGACAACTTGTTGCTGTATGAACATAGCTCTGAAAAGTACTGCCACATGTAAAGTTAGGACCTTTGTAATAAATAGTGCAGATGTGTGTGAATTTGTTTCTGAATTAAAAGAAAAAAATACCTTCTCAACCACTTTCTTGACATTTACCCAGTGCACCAAATAATCTTCAATTTACTGCCTCCTGAATTGGCGTCGTACTGCACTCCTCTTTTGGCCAATGAAAAGTAAATGAACGGGAAACATTTCCCTTTGACCACAATAAGGTTGAGGGGGTGGGGGGG